CCCGGAGCCGGAGCCGCCTCCGAGGCGGAATGCCCACCCGGCCCCTCCCCTGTGGTGTTTGGTTGGCGCGGTCGCAGTCCGCGCCTTTGGGGGGGTTACTGTCACGCCCTGGCTCTGGGGACTCTTTAATGTTGAGCCAGGGTGTGGATTTTCTTTGTTATAGTTTCTATGTTGTGTTCTAGATCGTTTATTTCTATGTTGGCCAGGGTGGTTCCCAATCAGAGACAGCTGTGGCTCGTTGTCTCTGATTGGGACCCATACTTAGGCAACCTGTTGGCACTTTTGTTTTGTGGGATCTTGATCCGTAAGGTTTGTGTTTAACCCTAGGACTTCACGTATCGTTTATTGTTTTGTTCATGTGTGTACTCATTAAAAGAATGTACGCTTATCACGCTGCGCCTTGGTCCGCTGTTTATGACGATCGTGACAAAGTAGTTGGTGAACCAGGCGAGGCAGTCATTTGAGAAACCAAGGCTATTTAGTCTGCCAATAAGAATGCGGTGGTTGACAGAGTCGAAAGCCTTGGCCAGGTCGATGAAGACGGCTGCACAGTACTGTCTATTATCGGTAGCGGTTATAATATCGTTTAGGACCTTGAGCGTGGCTGAGGTGCACCCATGACCAGCTCGGAAACAGGATTGCATAGCGGAGAAGGTACAGTGAATTCGAAATGGTCGGTGATCTGTTTGTTAACTTGGCTTTCAAAAACTTTCGAAAGGCAGGGCAGGATGGATATAGGTCTGTAACAATTTGGATCTAGAGTGTCACCCCCTTTGAAGATGGGGATGACCGCGGCAGCTTTCCAATCTCTGGGGATCTCAGATGTTACGAAAGAGAGGTTGAACAGGCTAGTAATAAGAGTTGCGACAATTTCGGCTGCTAATTTTAGAAAGAAAGGGTCCAGATTGTCTAGCCCAGATGATTTGTAGGGTTCCAGATTTTGCAGCTCTTTCAGGACATCAGCTGTCTGAATTTGTGTGAAGGAGAAGTGTGGGGGGGGGGCATGGGCAAGTTGCAGCGGAGGGTGCAGAGCTGGTGGCCGGGGTAGTGATAGCCAGGTGGAAAGCATGGCCAGCCGTAGCAAAATGCTTGTTGAAATTCTCGATTATTGTAGATTTATCGGTGGTGATAGTGTTTCCTAGCCTCAGTGCAGTGGGTAGCTGGGAGGAGGTGGTTTTATTCTCCATGGACTTTACAGTGTCCCAAAACTTTTTGGAGTTAGTGCTACAGGATGCAAATTTCTGTTTGAAAAAGTTAGCCTTTGCTTTCCTAACTGCTTGTGTATATTGGTTCCTAACTTCCCTGAAAAGTTGCATATCGCGGGGGCTATTCGATGCTAATGCAGTACACCACAGGATGTGTTTGTGCTGGTCAAGGGCAGTCAAGTCTGAGGAGAACCAGGGGCTATATCTGTTCTTAGTTCTGAATGTTTTGAATGGGGCATGCTTATTTAAGATTGAGAGGAAAGCACTTTTAAAAGAACAACCAGGCATCCTCTACTGACGGAATGAGATCGATATCCATCCAGGATACCTGGGCCAGGTCAATTAGGAAGGCCTGCTCGCTAAAGTGTTTTAGGGAGCGTTTGACAGTGATGAGGGGTATTCGTTTGACCGCGGACCCATTACGGACGCAGGCAATAAGGCAGTGCCTGGTTGAAGACAGCGGAGGTGTATTTAGAGGGTAAGTTAGTCAGGATGAGATCTATGAGGGTGCCCATGTTTACGGATTTAGGATTGTACCTGGTAGGTTCCTTGATAATTTGTGTGAGGTTGAGGGCATCTAGTTTGGATTGTAGGATGGCCGGGGTGTTAAGCATATCCCAGTTTAGGTCACCAAGCAATACGAACTCTGAGGATAGATGGGGGGCAATCAATTCACATATGGTGTCCAGGGAACAGCTGGGGGCTGAGAGGGGTCTGTAGCAAGTGGCAACAGTGAGACTTATTTCTGGAAAGGTGGATTTTTAGACGTAGGAGCTCAAACTGTTTGGGCACAGACCTGGATAGTATGATAGAGCTCTGCAGGCTCTCTCTACAGTAGATTGCAACTCCACCCCCTTTGGCAGTTCTATCTAGATAGAAAATGTTGTAGTTGGGGATGGACATTTCTGAATCTTTGGTGGCCTTCCTAAGCCAGGATTCAGACACTGCTAGAACATCAGGTTTGGCAGAGTGTGCTAATGCAGTTACAGTTACAGAAGTCCCGCTATGACCTCCGACGAACCATCAAACAGGCAAAGAGTCAATACAGGTCTAAGATTGAATCATACTACACTGGCTCTGACGCTCGTCGGATGTGGCAGGGCTTGAAAACTATTACAGACTACAAAGGGAAGCACAGCCGCGAGCTGCCCAGTGACACAAGCCTACCAGACGAGCTAAACCACTTCTATGCTCGCTTCGAGGCAAGCAACACTGAGGCATGCATGAGAGCACCAGCTGTTCCGGATGACTGTGTGATCACGCTCTCCGTGGCCGATGTGAGTAAGACTTTTAAGCAGGTCAACATTCACAAGGTCGCAGGGCCAGACGGATTACCAGGACGTGTACTCTGAGCATGTGCTGACCAACTGGCAAGTGTCTTCACTGACATTTTCAACATGTCCCTGACTGAGTCTGTAATACCAACATGTTTCAAGCAGACCACCATAGTCCCCGTGCCCAAGAACTCTAAGATAACCTGCCTCAATGACTACCGACCCGTAGCACTGACGTCTGTAGCCATGAAGTGCTTTGAAAGACTGGTCATGGCTCACATCAACAGCATAATCCCAGAAACCCTAGACCCACTCCAATTTGCATACCGCCCCAACAGATCCACAGATGATGCAATCTCTATCGCACTCCACACTGCCCTTTCCCACCTGGACAAGAGGAACACCTACGTGAGAATGCTATTCATTGACTACAGCTCAGCATTCAACACCATAGTGCCCTCTAAACTCATCACTAAGCTAAGGATCCTGGGACTAAACACCTCCCTCTGCAACTGGATCCTGGACTTCCTGACGGGCCGCCCCCAGGTGGTAAGGGTAGGTAACAACACATCTGCCACACTGATCCTCAACACGGGGGCCCCTCAGGGGTGCGTGCTCAGTCCCCTCCTGTACTCTCTGTTCACCCATGACTGCATGGCCAGGCACGACTCCAACACCATCATTAAGTTTGCCGACGACACAACAGTGGTAGGCCTGATCACCGACAACGATGAGACAGCCTATAGGGAGGAGGTCAGAGATCTGGCCGTGTGGTGCCAGGACAACAACCTCTCCCTCAACGTGACCAAGACAAAGGAGATGATTGTGGACTACAGGAAAAAAAAGAGGACTGAGCACGCCCCCATTCTCATCGACGGGGCTGTAGTGGAACAGGTTGAGAGCCTTGGTGTCCACATCACCAACGAACTATCATGGTCCAAACACACCAAGACAGTCGTGAAGAGGGCACGACAAAGCCTATTCCCCCTCAGGAGACTAAAAAGATTTGGCATGGGTCCTCAGATCCTAAAAAATTCTACAGCTGCACCATCGAGAGCATCCTGACTGGTTGCATCACCGCCTGGTATGGCAACTGCTTGGCCTCTGACCGCAAGGCACTACAGAGGGTAGTGCGTACGGCCCAGTACATCACTGGGGCAAAGCTCCCTGCCATCCAGGACCTCTATACCAGGCGGTGTCAGAGGAAGGCCCTCAAAATTGTCAAAGACTCCAGCCACCCTAGTCATAGACTGTTCTCTCTGCTACCGCACGGCAAGCGGTACCGGAGTGCCAAGTCTAGGTCCAAAAGTCTTCTCAACAGCTTCTACCCCCAAGCCATAAGACTCCTGAACAGCTAATCATGGCTACCCGGACTATTTGCACTGCCCCCCCACCCCATCCTTTTTACGCTGCTGCTACTCTGTTAAGTATTTATGCATAGTCACTTTAACTCTACCCACATGTACATATTACCTCAACTACCTCAACTAGCCGGTGCCCCCGCACATTGACTCTGCAACGGTACCCCCCTGTATATATAGCCTCCCTACTGTCACTTTATTTTACTGTATATATAGCCTCCCTACTGTCACTTTATTTTACTTCTGCTCTTTTTTTCTCAACACTTTTTTTGTTGTTGTTTATTCTTACTTTTTTTGTTTAAAATAAATGCACTGTTGGTTAAGGGCTGTAAGTAAGCATTTCACTGCAATGTCTGCACCTGTTGTATTCGGCGCATGTGACCAATAAAATTTGATTTGATTTGATTTGAGAAGTCAACAAATGATAGCTCCTGGGGAGTAGGAGTGATACTGGGGGCTTCAGGGCCTGGGTTAACCTCTACATCACCAGAGGAACAGAGGAGTACTAGAATAAGGATACGGCTAAAGGCTTTAAGAACTGGTCTTCTAATGCGTTGGGTACAGAGAATAAAGGGGGCAGTTCTCCGGGCGTTGTAGAATAGATTCAGGGCATTATGTACAGACATGTGTTACACCTGTGCTTGCTTGTCATCTCGTTAGTCAAGTGTGATATTTAAGAGCGGCTGGCCCAATGCTCCAGTTGGGATGAGAGATGTTGGAAGAGCTGCACCTCCTTATAGCTTTGCTTCTTTAAGTTGATCGACAAAGCCTTTCTGTCTTACATCTCCCCAGGTTTGGTTTGCTCCACTTATTTTTAACTCCATATTATAGGTTTTTATTTTGATTTGCCTTGTCTGGGGCAAATTTAGTTGGCACACCTGGTGGGTGTCTTTTAGGTCCCACTTTCATTTACATTTAGTCATACATTTAGTCATTTAGTCATTCATGTTGCTAGTCAACATTCAGTGGACACCCCCATGAGTATCTTTGAGGACACCTCCTAGCACCCCACCTGTTTCGTTTTGATTGTTAGTGACTGTTAGTTCCCCGTTCTGTTTGAGCGACAATTTTTGGTTTCTTGTTGGGGATGTGCAAGTGTATGTGTGTCTGATCCTCACCTCCTTCCAGATGTAATAGTGGCTGAGGAAGCATCCAACCTCTCCTTTGGTCAGGGTGCGGCGAGAGAATGGGTCATAGTAACCAGGTAGTATGTCCACTCCAAGGATCTTTATATCACTGCTGTTCAGAGCTCTGCAGGATACACACACATTGTGTCCATCTTTCTCTTGTAGGAACATTTCCCAAGCTTTGCATCCTCACCTAGCCTGGAAATCAGAGTGAATTCAGCTCTGTTTAGAATGATTGAGTCTGCATTACCAGGCTAATTCTCACCCTCCATCTATGGCGTCCACCACTTTGACGTCTATCTCCAGCTCGTTGAGAGAGTACAGCATCCTGTCCCTACGGTCCTGACGGCGACGCAGGTTGATCAGGTACACCTACATTATGGGAGAGCCAGGGTCAGAGGTCAACTCAGACACAATGATCCATATATTGAGTGAGAGAGTATAACACCATTCGTCTACAGCAGTTTTCCCCAAACCAGTTCTACTTCTTTGATCTATTTTAGTCCTTGAGAGGTTTGGGCACCCCTGGCCTCGGACTCACCTCATCAAAGCCCATGAGGTCTCTCCGTTTGGGGAAGAGGCTGACATATTTGGAGGGGGCCATGGAGGGACCTTCAACTGGAGGGAGAACACAGAGCTGTGTTATTAAGACACATCTATAAGTTACTACCTTTAGTATTACAGATATTTACTGTTAGTTATATACCATAATAAACATACAGAATACAACACCTACTCTCATAACTATAATAATATGAAATAAAGTTTCTTACTCATGGCCTCCAGGATGAGATGGCTGAAATTGATGCTGTCGTCCTCTATGGTGTGGTGAGGCTTGGCTGGGACGTTCAGGTAGCCATACCTCACCTTGTTGCACAGGTACATCTGCACCTCTGGAATCGCAAAGTCAACTCTGTTATCAAACAGTTAACGTTGACATGGCCTTGAAGTACCATCAACATAATCGTAACGTAATCATCTTGCCTTTTACTTTGAACACTTTGATTTCACCCCTGCACTTGCCAGGGCCATGGATGTTTGCGATTATATGTTATCAGAGAGTGTGTGTGTGTACATATGCCTGTGATGTGTGTGTGCTTTAATGTACATGCTGTACTGTAGACCCCTACTTGAGACGCGGCAGGAGAAGGCGAAGACGATGATGTCATCGAAGGGCCAGGAGTAGTCCTGGTGAGGGGGATGGAAGGCCAGCTTCTTCATGCCTGTCTTCCTCATGTCCAGCAGGAAGGTAGAGTGGACCATGGGCACCGGGTAGCAGCCCAGCCGGTGGCGGTGTCTGGTGGGGAAATACTCAGCTGTACGCCGATAGTAACCCTGAGAACAGACACACAGATCAATCCTTCATTCAAACAAAACCTAGTGTGCAATATTATACACCTTTAATTTTCACACAGGCATTTGTAATCTGACACATACACACGCGCACACACACTCTCTTACCTGTGGAGTGATGCCACACCAGTAGTTGGAGTAGGCTCCCTGGGAGTCCAACATGGGGGCGACCACAGACTTGTTCTCTGCTATGAGGAGGTTGAGGGTCTCTGGGTTGGTCAAGATGTTGTCTGTGTCTGCATACTGGAGGATTATAAGAGAGGTCTGGGTTTGTTGCGAGTGTTCAGGTGAGAGTAAAGAGTCAGAGATTATCTTGATAGAGAGGCAGGGTTATTGAAAACCAATGAGGAGAATTTGGAATTTTAGTTTACTTCCTGAATTGACTGAATTGAAATGGAATTGACCCCAACAATCCTTGATTTCTACTTCTAGGCTGTGGATAAACTAATGAGATAAACCTATAACTTCTAGTCAGTGGACAGAGTAGAGATTTGGGACTGTACCAGTATGTAGTCAGCCCAGCGTTGCTTGGCGAAGTTGAGAGCAGCCTGTTTGAGTTTCATCAGGTATTCATATCTGCCGTTGCTCCAGTATTTAGGCCCCATCTCTCCTGGGTAGGACCTGCAATGGAGGGAGTCCGAACAAGACGCACACAATCACATTCGCGCACACAAACACGTGCACACACACGCTACAGTATCCCTCCTGCATGGCTTCGAGGTACCCAGTACATGACCAAAAGTATGTGGACACCTGCTCATCAAACATCTCATTCCAAAATCATGGGCATTAATATGGAGTTGGTCCCCGCTTTTCTGCTATCATGGCCTCCACTCTTCTGAGAAGGCTTTCCAATAGATGTTGGAACATCGTTGCGGGGACTTTCTTCAATTGTGTTATTTATTTTTATTTTATTTTTTATTTCACCTTTATTTAAACAGGTAAGCCAGTTGAGAACAAGTTCTCATTTACAACTGCAACCTGGCCAAGATAAAGCAAAGCAGTGCGATAAAATCAACAAAAACAGAGTTACATATGGGATAAACACAACGTACAGTCAATAACACAATAGAACATCTATATACAGTGTGTGCAAATGTAGTAAGTTATGGAGGTAAGGCAATAAATAGGCCATAGTGCAAAATAATTACAATTTAGTATTAACACTGGAGTGATAGATGTGCAGAAAACTATGTGCAAATAGAGATACTGGGGTGCAAATGAGCAAAATAAATAACAATATGGGGATGAGGTAGTTGGGTGGGCTAATTACAGATGGGCTGTGTACAGGTGCAGTGATCGGTAAGCTGCTCTGACAAATGATGCTTAAAGTTAATGAGGGAGATAAGAGTCTCCAGCTTCAGAGATTTTTTCAGTTCGTTCAAGTCATTGGCAGCAGAGAACTGGAAGGAATGGCGGCCAAAGGAGGTGTTGGCTTTGGGGATGACCTGTGAGATATACTTGCTGGAGCGCATACTACGGATGGGTGTTGCTATGGTGACCAATGAGCTAAGATAAGGCGGGGATTTGCCTAGCAGTGATTTATAGATGACCTGGAGCCAGTGGGTTTGGCGACGAATATGTAGTGAGGGCCAGCCAACGAGCATTAGTGAGGTCGGGCACTGATGTTGGCCAATTAGGCCTGGCTCGCAGTCGGCGTTCCAATTCATCCCAAAGGTGTTCGATGGGGTTGAGGTCAGGGCTCTGTGCAGGCCAGTCAAGTTCTTCCACACCGATCTCGAAACACCATTTCTGTATGAACATCGCTTTGTGCACAGGGGCATTGTCATGCTGAAACAGGAAAGGGCCTTCTCAAAATTGTTGCCACAAAATTGAAAGCACAGAATTGTCTTGAATGTCATTGTATGCTGTAGCGTTAAGATTTCCCTTCACTGGAACTAAGGGGCCTAGCCCGAACCATGAAAAACAGCCCCAGACCACTATTCCTCCTCCACCGAACTTTACAATTGGCACTATGCATTGGGGCAGGTAGCGTTCTCCTGGCATCCGCCAAAACCCAGATTCGTCCATTGGACTGCCAGATGGTGAAGCGTGAGTCATCACTCCAGAGAACGCATTTCCACTGCTCCAGAGTCCAATAGCGGCAAGCTTTACACCACTCCAGCCAACGCTTGGTATTGCGCATGGTGATCTTAGGCATGTGTGCGGCTGCTCGGCCATGGAAACCCATTTCATGAAGCTCCCGACAAACAGTTATTGTGCTGACGTTGCTTCCAGAGGCAGTTTGGACATCGGTAGTGAGTGTTGCAACTGAGGAAAGACTATTTTTACGCGCTACGCGCTTCAGCACTCGGCGGTGTGGCCTACCACTTTGTGTGGCTACCACTTCGCGGCTGAGCCATTGTTGTTCCTAGACGTTTCCACTTCACAATAACAGCACTTACAGTTGACCGGGGCAGCTCTAGCAGGGCAGAAATTTGACAAACTGACTTGTTGGAAAGGTGGCATCCTATGACAGTGCCACGTTGAAAGTCACTGAGCTCTTCAGTAAGGCCATTCTACTGCCAATGTTTGTCTATGGAGATCGCATGGCTGTGTGCTCGATGTTATACACCTGTCAGCAACGGGTGTGGCTGAAATAGACAAATCCACTAATTTGAAGGGGTGTCCGCATACTGTTGTGTATATATATTGGACTTAGAGAGAAAATGAGGAGTCCCCTGAGGTCAGGTAGCACTGTGTATCGGTATGTGTATCGGTATGCATATCAGTATGCTCTGTAATCACCTAACATCTTTTTGAAGCTCTTTTCTCTTCACCCTCTGTTTTAAAGTTACATCCTTAAATACAGCATTTTGAGTCTACTATTACAGTCTGTGTGTGCTAGTAAGATTATACAACTAAGCAGGTGCTGATGTTTGACCAGATGTTTTTAAGCCCTTGGCCTTAGGTTTTGGGAGGTACACAACTGTATCAACAACACACGCTTTTTGGATGACATAATAATGTGGAACTCATGTAGGATGCTCTATAGCTCTCCACTCACCCAGACACACACACAGTTTTGGGAAATACAAGATAATGCTGAAGAGAAACAGAACTTACGTAGGATGCTCCATGGGCCTCCACTCCACATAGTGATAGAACTTTTGCATGACAGTCAGCCATTCTTTTAGAACAGCTGTAGTGTTGTCAGCATTGTGATCTGTAGCTGCCCTGCAGACATGGGAATAAAGACACACTGTCTGGCACTAGAATATACAGTAGTCTGTGTGTAACGTGGCCACTGGGTTTGCCTGATTTGCATACAACCGCAACACAACTAGGAATCAAAGACACTGCAAATCTGATACACCAATGTGGTCACGTTACACATGCGATCGAGAAAAGCCATGCACATCGTTTACCCTAATGAAGAGTTGCTAATGAATATGCAGAAGGGACTCCGTATGAAATGCATAATAATCAATATGCACATGAGGAAATGCACAAGAGGAAATTCGTTTAGGGCTATTGTGGTATCGCATGGAAATGTTATCTGTGCAAAACATACAGTAACATGCAGACTGTAGTGTAAAGTATAGGCTATTATAATGAAAATAAAATGTAATTGCATAATGCAGTGCAACAGTAGGCCTAGCCTACAATTTAACTTTCATAAACGCTGCATTAGAGACAAACTTGGAAAACAAAGTTAGAGTAGCCTACAGCAGCAGAAGCACTCATTATTTTCTATTGCAGGTGAGGGTCGAGGGTTCTAAAGGGATTGTGGGGACTGGGGAGAAGAGGGGTGGTATTCTTAATCTAAAATAAATGCGATTGACCTTTGATCGCCCGCGAGTTTGATAAATGGACCTTCGAACAAATAGCGTCCAGGGAAACAGCGCTGGCGGGATGGCTGAACTTACCATACAGAGATGCGGTTTTTGGGATAGTTCAGCCTCTCCAACGCTCCGAGGTAGTATGGCAAGGAATGCGCCGCGTTCCGAGCAATGATCGCAATAACAATCGTTGGCGGCTGCATTTTCGATTCTTCTTGATATTTTTCCTCAGAAAAATAACATTCTGTTCTAGAAACGAAGGCCCCTAAAACTAAAACCCAAAGAAACATGGTGGAGTTTACAGTACAGGCTGCTGCACGTACCTCCAGCTCCTTGTCCGCGTCAGCACGAAGTAAAAAATGTCTTTCTCCAAAATGTTTAACCCCCTCAAGATGCAACAGATGAGGCTCTTTCGTGCCCAAATCCGACGTGTGACGGCGGAGGGTTTTAAATTACATCTATTACAGCTTCCGCACCAACATTTGTCAGAAATGTTGGCGAGGAGTGAACTAAATCCATGTGGTGCAACTAACTAGTAATTTAACTACATTTTACAGTAGTTTAGTGGTAGTTGAACTTCATTCAAATCTAAGTAGGATTTTCAGTAGTTAATGCATGTTTTTGTATGTAGCAGTGTTGCTAACTACTGTAACTACACACTACTTTTTTGTGCAAATATAAAATATGGGTGAAGTAGGATAGATAAAATGTCCTAGGAATCCTGTTAAACCCTGTTTTAAGACAACAACAAAAACTCCCAGCTCAGAGTAGATTTTAGGATGCTGTTAAGACACTGCTCAGACAAACTGAGCCAGGAGTAAAATCAACTAATACAAGTTTATCTCAGCTGGTAATCATGAAGGTTTGAGGTACGGCAAAGGAAAGATAGTAATGACGTTGTTACAAATAATGAGGAATAACCAATTGTTATGAGGCATCGCCAGATGTGAACTCTAAAGCACTCTTCAACGACAGTGAATGTTGCAATGGTAAAACGTTTGATAACTATAATTTTCGCCTGACACGATAACTTTGCCTACTCTTAATTCTGGCCTAATATGTTGGCATGCATAACCTTATTTAACCAATTCTGATAATTTGAATGACAGTATCATGCCGGTTGAAAGCAGGATTTTTATCATATTTATTACCTTTAATAAAAACACTCCTCACTCCCGTTCAACAACTCTGATCCAAAGGGATAACTTGAAATAACATATAGGTTCATGAAATAATGAAAATAAAATTGTTTATTTATTAGCCTAGTAAAGGGATCTCGCATGCTACCTATGAGTAGCTGGCCAAACAATTCTGAAAGTACATGCAATTTTCACTTCTTCCACCACAAACTGTCATAAACAAATCTCACAAGTATCAGACACCACAAGCTCCCAGCTACTATATAATCCAGGCAACATTGACATTATCCCACCCCTGTCTGTGTGGTGTGTTTGTCTATCACTCTGTGTGTAACCAGTAATAACCATCTTGTGGGTTGACAGAAATAGTTTCCTCAAAACCTATTTGTTATTTGCAAACTTTGCCATGAAATGAGCAGCATCAGTACAGAACCATCACTAGACCAGCACATTAGAAGGCACATAGAGCCCCACAGTGGAGGTTTCATAATACCCATAAAACCTAGCGGTCAAACAGGGAAATGGTTCCAATCGTTTTTCCACCATTCATTTTTCCCATAGGGGATTTTAGAAACACTTAAAATAAGGGCTGTGTTTCATGTAGGCTTACCCTGGCGTGACGTTTTGATAACCATGTAAATCTCTCTCGGACAAGGGGATTTTTATCAATATATTAGGCTTTATTTATTCTCAGATTTGAAAATAATATTTGATTAACTGTTCAGCAGTCTTATGGCTTGGGGGTAGAAGCTGTTAAGGAGCCTTTTGGACCTAGACTTGGCGCTCCGGTACCGCTTGCCGTGCGGTAGCAGAGAGAACAGTCTATGACTAGGGTGGCTGGAGTCCTTGACAATTTTTAGGGCCTTCCTCTGACACCGCCTGGTATGGCAGGAAGCTTGGCCCCAGTGATGTACTGGGCCGTACGCACTACCCTCTGTAGCGCCTTGCAGTCGGATGCCGAGCAGTTGCCATACCAGGCGGTGATGCAACCAGTCAGGATGCCCTCAATGGTGCAGCTGTATAACTTTTTGAGGATCTGAGGACCCATGCAAAATCTTTTCAGTCTCCTGAGGGGGAATAGGCATTGTCGTGCCCTCTTCACGACTGTCTTGGTGTGTTTGGACCATGATAGTTTGTTGGTGATGTGGACCCCAAGGAACTTGAAGCTCCCGACCTGCTCCACTACAGCCCCATCGATGTGAATGGGGGTGTGCTCGGCCCTCCTTTTCCTGTAGTCCACAATCATCTCCTTTGTTTTCATCACGTTGAGGGAGAGGTTGTTGTCTTGGCACCACACTGCCAGGTGTCTGACCTCCTTCCTATAGGCTGTCTCATCGTTGTTGGTCTTCAGGCCTACCACCGTTGTATTGCACGTTGTTCACTGCAATGGACTTTGTCTTGGTGACACATTTTGCTCCGAATCTGGTACTTAAAACTGCACAGGCAGAGTTTGGAAGTGCATGCAGTGGGACGTCTCTTGTGTCCGCACAGTGTGTTGTTGTTGGTTTGCTCCCAGCATTGTCTGAGCTGATGTCTTTTTGCCAGGGTCTTCGTTATATTTTTGAAGTTTCCCACAACTGCTGAGAGCCACTTGAAATATTGGTGTTTTGCTTCAAATCGCATGGTGGACTGGTGTATCAAAGGTCCATAGGCAAGTAGCAGGCTAGGGGACGAGGTAGTGCATCTTTGGGATTGTCTTCCTTGGAAACAGCTCTTGGAAGAGAGCTTGAAATTCTGTGATTTTCTTTTTTTTTCTGCCAGATATGGGATCCAGGATCTTCTTAAAACTGGGGCCAGATATGGGATCCAGGATCTTTTTAAAACTGGGGCCCCCCCTTTGTTTTTACACTAATGCTACTCTGTTTATTATCTATGCATAGTCACTTTACCCCTACCTACATGTACAAATTACCTCGACTAACCTGTACCCCTGCACATTGACTCGGTACTGGTACCCCCTGTATATAGCCTTGTTAATGTTATTTTATTGTGTTACTTTTGATTTCATTTTTTACTTTAGTTTATTTAGTAAATATTTTCTTAACTATTTCTTCAACTGCATTGTTGGTTAAGGGCTTATAAGTAAGCATTTCACGGTAAGGTCTACTACACCTGTTGTATTCGGCGCATGTGACAAATACAATTTGATTTGATTTGAGATATCGGATATCTCTCGAAGCAGGAGGTACAGATCCCAAGCACTGCCATGTTGTATTTGACTACCAATCATTTGGGGGAGTAAACAGAAGTGTTCATTTTTCCGATGCACTTCCGGATAGATGGCCATTCTTACATTTACATTTTAGTCATTTAGCAGACGCTCTTATCCAGAGCGACTTACAGTTAGTGAATACATATATTATTATTTTTTCATACTGGTCCCCCGTGGGAATTGAACCCACAACCCTGGCGTTGCAAACGCCATGCTCTATCAACTGAGCTACATCCCTGCCGGCCATTCCCTCCCCTACCCTGGACAACGCTAGGCCAATTGTGCGCTGCCCATGAGTCTCCCGGTCGCGGCCGGCTGCGACAGAGCCTGGATTCGAACCAGGATCTCTAGTGGCACAGCTAGCACTGCGATGCAGTGCCTTAGACCACTGCGCCACTCAGGAGACTTCCTTAAGACTCTCTCAGTTTAGAAGACACATCTCATTTGTCATAAGACAAGTTCTCAATCTCATAGTTGATCTGGCCAAGAGTAATATGCCTCTCTTGAACCAGTTGTTGCAGCACTAGTCTGAGCATTGTGGGTATGATGCCCTCATGAATGTCATGCATGACGTCTGGTGGAAACAGATAGGTAATTGGAGATGGCACATGATTCAGCAGAGAAGCAACAGTCTTTTTTGATACCATACATCAATGCATTGTCTGGATTTTCTTCCACAGCCTGCAGTTGGTACTTGTAGTTGTCTGGGTCACGCATGTTGAATTCCTCTTCAGTGATTTTTGAGCAAACGTTCCCATTGGTAGCCAAGCAGAAGCGACAAATGCGACCAGAGGAAAAGTTTTTGCTCAACCCTGCAACTGCATATGCAGAGAGGTTATCTGCTGAGATTGTTGTGATTGTGCCTCAGAAGGTTTTGTTTTCACCATTGCGTGATAATTTCACACCCTGTGTTTCCAATTCCTGGATGTCACATATCAAAGGCTTGAATACTTCTTCGTAAGTGGTGACTTGTTTTTGAATGAGGCGTTGATTAACCAGTGTGGAGAGGTATATATTTTGAAATTGGGAAGTATCCTTGTGGTCAAAATTTCCTAATCTACAGTAAAGTACACTGTGGTCAATTTGTGCTTGCCTTTTCTAGAGCCCAGTGGATTGACACTTCAAATTAATCTACATAGAACTGCAGACGGAGGCTCTGCTTTGTTAGGTTGGGATTTGATTTGAACAATTCACCGTCAGTAAAGTCTTCCAGAATTTCATCATTATGTGGCTTTTGGTCTAGATTAAAGGTGGCCCAGACCTCTTCATTACTTGCCATTTTTTGCAGTATGCTGACCAATGGGATGTATTGAAATGAGCTTGTTTTATAACCTCCTTAGTTCCTCAGGGGTACTTCAATTGGCCTGACCATGCCAAATTCTATCACACAGTAATGCTCCAGCATCCACTCAGAGCTTATGCCAATAATGCATTCCTCAAATACTGCAGAGTTGTTAAGCAAGTCCCATCTTCATCCACATTGATTAGCTTATTTATAAGGTGAAACCTGAGGGCATCACTAGTGTGTCATAAATGCATCAAAAATGGTTCTGAGGTCCTAAACAATGCTATTCTGTACCGTAGCTGGGATTCAGTGATCTTCCCTAATTTTCAAAATAAAAAGACAGATATTATTTTTGAGACCTTCAATTAGCTGCTCAGTATTGATCTCTGTGGCTTGAACATATTCAGCCTCTGGCAGACTCTATACATCGCTCACGTCATCTTCAATGGGATCAGTCCCAGTCTCATATTCATCATGAGGGCAATTGTCATCTAAGTTGGAGCTTAAAAGCTCTCTGTGGTTTCAGTAAATGTGTGACCGGTAGGCGCTGAAACATCCATTTGGTTTTCCCACACCCATTAAGTCCACAGGTAATTAGGAAATGTGGTTCATGCTGGTGATAGAGGCCA